ACACAATAGAAGCAGAAGGGTCATTACCAAACTCTTTTTATGAGGCTTCAATAACCTTGAAACCTAAGCCACACAGAGACAAAACTAAGAAAGAGAACTACAGACCAATATTCCTCATGAACATTGATGCAAAAATTCTCAATAAAATACTGGCAAATCAAATCGAAGACCACATCAGAGAAATCATAGATCCTGATCAAGGAGGCTTCATCCCAGGGATGCAAGGATGGTTCAACATAAGAAAATCCATCAATGTACTCCATCATATAAACAGACTGAGGAAAAAAAAAAAAAAACATGATAATCTCACTGGATGCTGAAAAAGCCTTTGACAAAATCAAACACCCCTTCATGATAAAGGACATGGAGAAATCAGGGATAACAGGAACATACCTCAACATAATAAAAGCAATATACAGCAAGCCAACAGCCAACATCAAATTAAATGGAGAGAAATTGAATAAAATCCCACTAAAATCAGGAACAAGACAAGGCTGTCCACTCTCCCCATCTTGCTTCCATATTGTCCTTGAAGTTCTAGCTAGAGCAATAAGACAACAAAAGGAGATCAAGGGAATACAAATCGGAGAGGAAGAAGTCAAACTCTCACTATTTGCAGATGATAATGATAGTCTACATATGTAACCCGAAAAACTCTACCAGGGAACTCCTACAGCTGATAAACACCTTCAGCAAAGTAGCAGGATACAAGATTAACTCAAAAAAATCTGTAGCCCTACTATATACGGATGACACATTGGTAGAGAAAGAAATCAGAGAAACCTCATCCTTTACAATTGCCACAAACAACATAAAATACCTTGGGGTAACACTAACCAAAAAAAGTGAAAGTGTACTGTAAGAATTTTGACTATCTAAAGAAAGAAATAAAAGAGGATACCAGAAAATGGAAAGATCCCCCATGCTCTTGGATAGGCAGGATCAACATAGTAAAAATGGCAATCTTGCCAAAAGCAATCTACAGATTCAATGCAATCCCCATCAAAATCCCAACACAATTCTTCACTGACCTTGAAAGCACAATCCTCAACTTTATATGGAGAAACAAAAGACCCAGGATAGCCAAAACAACCCTGTACAATAGAGGAACTTCTGGAGGCATCACCATCCCTGACTTCAAGCTCTATTGCAGAGCTATAGTCCTGAAAACAGCTTGGTATTGACACAAAAATGGACAGGAAGACCAATGGAATAGAGTTGAAAAACCTGTTATTAACCCACACATCTACAAACACCTGATTTTTGAAAACAATCCAAATACATACTCTGGAACAAAGAGAACATCTTCAACAAATGCTGCTGGCATAACTGGATGCAAACATATAGAAGACTACAGATAGACCCAACCCTTTCGCCTTGCACAAAACTTAAGTAAAAATGGATCAAAGACCTCAACATAAACGCAGCCACACTGAACCTATTAGAAGACAAAGTGGGAAATACCCTTGAATTAATTGGTACAGGAGAGCTCTTCCTGAACATAACACCAGTAGCACAGACACTGAGATCAACAATTAATAAATGGGACCTCCTGAAACTGAGAAGCTTCTGTAAGGCAAAGGACACAGTCAGCAAGACAAAACAGCAGCCCTCAGACTGGAAAAGATATTCACCAAACCCACATCTGACAGAGGGCTGATCTCCGAAATATACAAAGAACACAAGAAGCTAATCTCCAAAACACCAAACAATCCAATTAAAAAGAGGGGTACAGAACTAAATAGACAATTCTCAATAGAGGAATCTAAAATGGCTGAAACATACATAAGGAAGTGTTCAACACCCTTAGCCATCAGGGAAATGCAAATCAAAACAACTCTGAGATACCATCTTACTCCTGTCAGAATGGCTAAAATCAAAAACACCAATGACAGTTTATACTGGAGAGGATGTAGAGAAAGAGGAACACTTTTCCACTTCTGGTGGGAGTGCCAACTTGTACAGCCACTTTGGAAATCAGTATGGCGACTCCTCAAGAAAATGGGAATCAGTCTACCACAAGATCCAGCAATTCCACTCTTAGGCATATACCCAAAAGAAGCACATTCATACAATAAGACAACTGTTCAATAATGTTCATAGCAGCATTATTTGTAATAGCCAGAACCTGGAAGCAGCCTAGATGCCCCTCAACTGAAGAATGGATAGAGAAAATGTGGTACATTTACACAATGGAATACTACTCAGCAGGAAAAAAGAAAAAAAAGAACACAATGGAATCTTGAATTTTCGGGAAAATGGATGGAACTCAAAGAAACCATTCTGAACAAAGTAACCCAATCACAAAAAGACAAACATGATATGCACTCACTCATATGTGGATTTTAAACATAGAGTAAGGGATTACCAGCCTACAATACACACTGACAGAGAAACTAGGAAACAAGGAAAACCCTAAAAGAGACAAACTTTGTCCCCTGGAGAAGGGGAAAGGGACAGGATCCTCTGAGAAAATTGAGAGCATGGGAAGCGAACAGAGGGAGCAACTAGAATGAGAAGAGAAGAAGAGGAAGGATGCAGAGGTCATGAGGGAGCAGAAAGGTTGAGACAGGTATAGATTGGAAGAAAGGATATGCAATACGTAGGGTTTTAGTTGGGGGGGGTGATAGGGGAGGAGGGGAGGGAGAAGGGAACTGGGATTGTCCTGTAATTCAATCCTGTTTGTAACTCAAAAAAAAAAAAAAACCAGCATTAAATGAGCTATCCATAAACATATGAAAACTATTTAAGATTGATTCATACATTGGAAAATAAAGCATTGAGTAGTCTTGGAAAAAAACCCACTAAATCTTTGCTTCACTTTTAAAATTAACTAATACCCTAATTATTTAATCTTTTGACAGCTAATTATAATATTAATCACTCTCAGACTACTCCCAGAAAATAATTTAAAAGTAACTAAAGGTAATTCCCATGAACTCTAGTGATCTGAAGATGTTCCAGTTATAGGAGTCATTTCCATGAGTCTGTCTTCACTTCACTGTCTGACACATAGGGACATCTAGGACAACTGTAGTAATACAGCATATGGAGCTGGAACTGCAATTTCAGCTCAAACAGACTTGAGAACAAAAAAGAAACTTTTGTGCAGTTCCCATTTGGGGTCAATTATGCCACTGTAGGTAACAGCTGGGCACAGACAAATACATTAAGCACAGGCAATTCACAATCACATCAAAGCACCAAGTGGAGCAGAGGCCTAGGCATAGTTTTGGATCTGTTATTTAGTTTTCTCTGTGGGCTTCTGACCCAAATACTAAGCATGAAATAAAATATACAGAACTGGTCATGGGCAGATGAATTATATTACAAAGGTCCTTGGCAAACAGAGCTCAATGGGATTCTGAAGGAACGAATAACACATTGAAAGAAAAAAATGTCACAGCTCAGACAGAAGAAAGCCCACTGAAGGAAGCGCTGAGAGTGCCCCTCTAAGCACAGTTCATGGAAAAACACCATAGTGCCTTCAGCCTTTGACAATTATGGTCCCTCTAGAAACACCATACCCTGAGGCAGGCATGCATATACATAGTCACAGCACTCAAGAGGCAGCAGGATCTTCCAACCATACACAATATAAAAAATACTCAATTAAAAAAAAAAAAAAAACAATGTTGGAAATAGTGGTAAACAAGACTGAAGAACTGCAGCTCATAGGTATAAACTGCACTACAATAATATGCGTAAATCAGTTCATCTCTGTCTAATGGCACAACATCTGAAGGTTGACACCCTCCATCTACTCACTAAGGAACGACCAAACAAGTATTTGTCTTTTTAAGTTCACTTGTCCGTGGAAAGAAAATAAAATCCAAAGGACCAATATACACAGTTCCCCATGATTGTTAATGGCTGCAAACTAATAATCTTAGATTAGAACTTTTTAACGGCCTCTTGAACTTGCAACAACCTGATTCACCTCTGCTCTAGCTCAGGACCCACATAATACCTAACATGAATTTTCTGAGCCTACAACTCAAAATCAGATTGTGCTTTTGATTTGCTATGGATTACAGGGCATTTTTTACATATGAAAAGGCAGTGTGGTGCAAGAGCTCTGCCCTGCCCCAAGCCATTTGAATCCTAATTCTGGTATGGGAGTAAAGCAGCCAGCAACAAATCACTTTTGAGTTTTCATTTCTCATTTGAAAATCAGTGAAAGCAAACCGTTCAGGATGAGTTGTTCTTGGAATTTAAGATCATAGTCTATGTAATACATAATGTCATCCCCTGACTCAAAGAACTCTAATACCTAAATGTTTCCAAGAAGTGGAACATAATTTGCATAAACAATCAACTGCATTTATTTTTTGTAATAACTATAGAATTTTACCTTGTGACAAAAGTATTTTGACAATTTCAGTATCACAGCCAAAAAGATGGGATTACTTCACACGGCACAAGATAATTGAGTTATAAATTTAGGTTGTACTGAGACTTCAGGTAACAAAAGCATACCACATTAAGGAATACAATAGTGGGCAGTATTCTCTTAACAACTATATTAGTGTAAGATATACAGTTAGTGTATGATTCTCAACTACTTTGAAAAAATTATTTTCTATATTCAAAGAGTTTGATTTAATTATAAAAGTGTCTAATTCACATGCACAATAACAAAATTACAAAGTTCTGACAAGCTAGCTGACATCCTTACCATTTCATATACTTCAATTTTCTCTCGTAAAAAGGTGATTTGATTTTTTAATTCCACCTCCTTTTTCTGATAATTCTTTAACAGATGGTTTTGCTTTTCCACCTGCTGCTGCTGAGCGTGGAGCTGCTGCTTCACGAGAACCAGCTCTGCAGCAGTGCTGCTGTGGGTGCTGCTCCGCAATGTCTCACTGGCCTGTAACTTGAAAATAGAAAGAACCTTCAACATACTGAACGCTGAAGTGACTGTTTCTGAACAGACTTCTGGAGTGTTATTCTGCTGACACTGGCTCTCTGTGACATCTCTTCACTTCAGGGGTTTGAGATCTGCTGGTGCTATGACTGGAATAACTGAGCCATGAAATTATCTTTCAAATGATAGTTCAGAGAATGCAGGTCTAGTGAGGGAAATAGGACTGAGGCCACAGGGGCAAGAGAAGCAGGACAGGAACATACAGCTGCATCCTGGTGACTTTGCAGACTCTAGTTCCAATCTCTTTCAAAGTCTTCATTATATTTCTGCCCCTAAATTCTGCAGGATGCTGGCTTAAGATATTTCAAGTTGTTTTGTGATACTTGCTATCAAACTCTGATCAATGCAATCAGATACCGTGTTAGTCAGAGTTTCTACTGCTGAATGATAAAACACCATGGCCAAAGCAAGCTGGGGAGGGGAGGGTTGATTTGCCTTATGCTTCCACTTCTTAGTTCATCATCAAAGGAAGTCAAGCCAGGAACTCAAACAGGGCAGGATCCTGGAGGCAGGAGGCCATGGAGGATTGCTGCTTGGTGGCTTGCTCCTCATGGATTGCTCAGCTTGCTTTCTTAGAGAAGACAGGACCACCTCCCCAGGATGGCACCACTCATACTGGGCCAAGCCCTCCCTCTCCCATAAATCACTAAATAATAAAATGTCTTATAGGCTAATCTTATGGAGGCAATTTCTCAATTGAGGTTCCCTTCTTTCAGATAACTCTAGCTTGACATAAAAGTAGCCAGGGTGGATTCCAAGGTAAACATAAAGTAAATGAAAGGTGTAGATCCAGTTACCATTTAGAGCCTAATTAAAACCAAGGAAAGATTGAAAAGGTCCAATGCAACTACAGAGTGATGTCTGCAAAAATCCATTCAGTCCACCTTGGTAAGATTTTGTAGACTTTCAAAACTGAAATATGAAGTTTAATAGAAATAATAGCAGGAAACCACTCATGAAATATGAATATTTCTTTGTTATGCTGTGCAGTGGTTGCAGTGTATACCTTGAATCCCAGGACTATGAAGGCAGAGGCATGCGGATCTCTGCGAAGAGGCCAGCATGGTCTACATAGTGATTTCCAGGAAAGACTCCGATGCTACACAAAGATAATCTCAAAAAAAAAAAATTATTGGTTACTATAACAACACAAATTTACCAATATTTTTAAGTACACTAATGTAGTGCACTTTTGTGGTTAAAAAAATAAATAAACTATGTTGTACTCATAATACTTACATGCTGGAATTGAATCTGTAATTTCTGACTTTGTTCTGTCAATTGGAAAAATTCTTTCATTGTCTCATCCTTCTCTTTTCTTGCTTGCTGCAAATTAGCTATTAGCTGAGTAATGATGCTGTCTCGTTGTTTAATGGCAGCTTCAAATTCATATAACTAAGAGAAACCAGTGAAAACTGTAATTATTAGCTATTTTAGGTGGTTTTTTGTTTATTTGTTTTTGTTTTTGTTTTTTCCCCCAGAGTTAAGTAATCTTTCATGAAAGCTACTGGCCTGTCCAAGTCAGTTCTATTTCAAATACAAGTTTGAAAACATGTATCTGCATTAAGGAAGGAAGAGAATATATATATCTGGGTTGACTTTTCCATGAGTTCTTATAGAAGAAGCATCTTTATACTTTTGCCCCGATTTATTCTAGGCAACACCAGCAGACATGTTTAACCCCAGTTTGTTTCTTAGTAGGATGGAATGGAAGTATGCTATCGTTTCTATCAGTGTCCCTCTTCATCTTGACTTCCCTGCATAGAAGGTGTCATTGTCACCAGCGAGATGACTTACAAGGACTTACTGACATTCTTAATGGGTTTAAGTCATACTTTTTGTGGTTTACACAAATTTGCTCTCAGACTGATGACAAAAAGATAATTGTCTTATAGGAGTGATTTCACTCTAGCTACTTTACACAGTTAAATTTTGAAAGTCTGAATATTGCAGCTGTATTTCTGCAATCCTCATTTTAAATGGTTTTTAGATGATATCTAAGTACAAGAACAAGATTATGCACTGGCCTAGGTTGCCATTGCAAAGCCCCATGTGTAAAGAGCACACACACTTCCATTCACATGTATAACAAACCAAAGCCCCAGGAGGTGAGCGCACCCTCTGCAGCACTTCAGTCCCACAGGTAGCTCTCATTCCTTCCAGCTGCTGAGTTAGTTCTTCAATTTCATGCTGTTTTCCAGCCAATTCATTTTCCATTATCTCGACATGAGTCTGACTGCACAGAGCTCCTTGTTCAGAATGAGAATTATCAAGGCCAAATTCTTCTCCCTAAATCAATCCACAGTTTTTAATAATTCAGTACTAGCAATATTCCTCAGGGAGAAGGATAAAACTTAAGATTCCATAGCAAAGTCCATTTCAAAAAATTCCTACCTCCTGTAAGTTCATTAGTACAGAAACCTGCTTTGTTAGTAATGAGACAGAACCTTAACAGCATAAACAAGATTTCTGCAACTACAAACAGGAGATAACTGGTTTTATTAAGTACTAAAAGCAAATAGAAGTACCCACAGGAAAGCTTTGTTATTAAGCTGGGGACCTTTACACACTATAAAATATTAGTATCACACATAGTTTAAATACAAAAATCCTTAATAAATTTTAGGCTTTGCTGTTTTTGTCACAAAACAGCAGACATTTGTCTGTGTAAAAATAATTTTTTGATTTATTTATTATGATCTAAAACTGAATGTAATTCACCTGACAACAGCATTTCACTGAGCCCGGGGACCACAAATTCAGCTACTCTCACTGGCCAGCTAGCCCTAGGCATCCTCTGTCTCTGTGTCCTCAGTGTAGGAACTACACACACACACACAGATTTTCATACATTGTATGTTGGTGCTAGGGATCCAAGCTCATGCTTGTGTGGCAGGCACTTTACTCATCAAAAAGACATACTATAAGTTCAAAGGTTAATCATTCCTCAAACACCAGAGTGCTTACAATGTACCTTCTTCTCTTCCAATCACCACTAATTTCCCTCATACTGCTTCTCTTTATAAAGGGTAATTGGACTGCTTTGGCTTTCAGTGTATGTATGTGAGGTCAGAGTTCCGTGTCAGGTGTCTTTCTAAATCACTCTCCACCTTAGTATTTTGAGATAGGGAGATGAAGTGTGAACCTGGAACTCACTGGTTCAGCTAAACTAGCTGAGCCAAACCCCAGGGATCTTCCTGTCTTGATCTCCCCAGAGCTGTGATTACAGAAACTAACAATCACACCTGGATTTCACATGGGTGCTGAGGAACCAAATCCAGGACCTCATGCTTGAACAGCAAGTACTTTCAAGCTTCACCACCTCCCCAGCTCCTGAAAAGGCTTTTGCATCACCTCTTTGACTTTCCTCTCCTCTCCAAATGTCTGCTATTCTCTAAGAGGAAAGAAAGATCACTTTGATAGCCCAGTGTACAGGCACAGTGAAGGAGCCCCCAGCAAACGATCTTCAGTACACTGTTCACCATGGTGTTTCACAATCACAACTGCTTTCTTGCTGCCAGACAGGCATGTGAAAAAGCCGAAACCCAATTGTCTAATCACAGAAATGTTTGCCTCAACCTAAAGAGCTTCCATAAATGCTTTCGCACCACATTTGGCAATGGTTCCTAAACTGTTTAGGATGTTAACCGTGGTCACAGCAATGCCCATCTCCATGAAATTCAGAGGACTGAAGGCTGGGAATGAGTCAGTACATTACCACAGTTCAACCTGGAAAAACCTGCCAGCATCTGACTGATAGCAACCCTGACTAAGGCATAAGAAATAAGAAGCATTAGAGTTCCATGAGTAAAGGAAAGATCCCTGTTGGGATAAGTCAGTAATGACGATCAAACATGTAAAATGGACAATCACTCAAAGGTCTCCATCTCATGCTAAGTAGAATTCACTTTCTCAGGCTTACTGAAAGGGCTGCAAGAACTAGAAAGGATTATCCTTGCTTTATTAACAAGCAGCAACCATCTTTTTCCTTTCTGATTGACTCTGGTATAAAGTGCACTTCATCAGATATGAGTACACCTACTCCTGTGTTGTTTTTTAAACTTCCTCTTACCTGGTATGTGGACTCTGATGCATTCACTTTCAGTCTAGTGTGTCTTTGCCAGTGAGATGTATTTCGAAGACAACAAACAATTGTCTCTTCTTTATTTTTTTTCAACCAATTAGAAAGTAGAGACTATTTGCAATTAGTGCTATTATTGACAACACTTTGCTGTTTCCTATGACTCTGTTGAGTGTTGTCTGGTTTCAAGTTTTGGTTTGGTCTTTTTGCATTTCCAACCCCTCCCCCCATTCCATATTAGGGGTTTGTTGATTTGCAGAGTAAGACAGAAATGTTTTTTACCTTTTTTCCCTCCATTCATCTACTTTCTATGATTACTTACTCTTCCTTGTGCTTTTGTGACAGAAACTGTCTCTTGTCCTCTGTGTGTGACACTTGTCAGAGTATCTTTTATATTGCTAGCTTGCTTGACACGAATAGCTTTAGTTTGTATTCATCTTTAAAAGTCTCCAATTCTCCCATCCTTTTTTAACATATATTCTTGAAAGGTAGTTTATAGAGATTGTGATTTTAAATCCATACAGACCACAGAGGAAATTTTACATAGTGTGAATAAGATATCCATTTATTTATTCATTGTTGGATATTTTCCTGGTCAGTCTACTAGTAAGCATATAATTAGCTCCAATGCACATTAAATTTATTACCTATCAAAGGTTCAACCCATATTACTAATGCTTCTCTTTTCTATTTGAAACCTATAACACAATGAAATTTATGAAATGCACCACTTGCTGACACATTTAGAGTAATTTAGAGTAAGACAAAGGTTTTCATGTTCTCTAACTCTGGACCAAAGAAATGGTGATCATATTTAAAAGAGTAAGCCAAAGGACACAAAGCTATCACCATTGTATAAAGAGGGCAAGTCATAAAGAGGTCACCTCCACTTAACAGTTTCTCACCTAAAGTCACCACCACAGCATTAGTACCAATACAAAAGTCCATATGGTTAATGCAAATCCACACATTTGTCAAGAGCTTTACTCAAAACAAATTATCAAAAAATAATTGCTGTGATAAATGAAACCACTTCACAGTGGTCTTCCATCTAGTAGCCCAGTACCACAGCCTCTTCCAGACACTAACCAGTTCACTGTGGACGTCTACCTAGAAATCTAAATCTCAGAAACTAACCAGAATCTCTATGTATTTAAAGATAACTCTACCAAATGGTTAAGATATCCGATAGCATTGTGAAAAATAGCAGCAGTAAAACGTATCTATGGTTTGCTAACTATTTATGCTGTTGTTAGTTTATTATATTTATAGAAGTGCAACAGAAGCATGTAAAATGTATAAGAAATTAAGAAACATCAATAATTTTAATGCTATGACAATTTTACCTATAAAATTTGAAATTATGACATGTTAATCTTACCTCTCGTGAACTGCAGTGGTTTCCTGTAATAGAAATTTCACTTTCAGGCTAAAAGAAAAGTAAAACAATTTACGATTACACCTTTTCTCTATATTTTACTTCCACAAAGCAACTACTGTTCATAGCATAATGAAAACGACTATATACAATGATACTAAAACCAGGTAATACACTACCAAAACCTAGTACAAATTATACAGAGCTCTAAAATTTCACCTATGAATTAGAGTCTAAGCAGTAAATTTTTCTCCATATAAAAAATATCAATAGGACATATTCTTATACACAGTACCTCCCCTTTGTAAGCCAAAAACACCAAAGTATGATTTCTCTAAACTTTATAACTCCTAAATAAAAGAGTCAAAAATGCTACTATCAGAAGAATCATTTCCTCAAATGTATTCTCAGATCTTGATGCTAAAAGTAATTAAAGAGATATGACACGCTTTGTTGTTACAATGCTTTTACAACTTGAAAAGCACTGATTAAACACATTTTCTGGAGGCTAGAGAAATGGCTCAGCAGTTAAGAGCACTAGCTATTCTTGCAATGAAGGGTTCAGCACCCATATGGTGACCCACAAGGAGCTCTAACCCCAATTCCAAGAGAGCTGATGCTCTCTTCTGGCCTCCATGGGCACTGCATTTGTGGGAAGCAAGCATAAACCCATATAGGCAAAATATCCATACATATATATAAGAAAGTAAAAATTAAACATTTTTACTTTATCCAACATTTTAGGCATGAGGTCAGTGGAATTGGGAGCACCTCTCAAGTGTGTAAGGAATAAAGAAATGAATCTTAATTTTTCTAATTTCTATTTTAGTGTCCAACACACACACACACACACACACACACACACACACACACACACACACACACACACCTCTTACATGAAACACAGAGTTTATAAATACTATCACTGTAATTCCTAATCTCTTCCTAGAGAAACATTATTTAACACTGGCAGGAAAAGAAAAGAATAAGCAGAATGATTAAAGAGCCATGGTGGTGCACACCTTTAATCCCAGCACTTGGGAGGCAGAGACAGGTATATCTCTGTGAGGATGTCTACGACTACATAGACTCATGTCTCAAAAAAGAACAAAGACTAACAGAGGTTATTGAATTCAAAATCATAAATACAGAAAAGAATCCAAACATTAATATACTATAATGTTAAAAAATCCAAATCCCATGCCAGAGTTGCCAAAATATATTTGCCAAAATACTAATTATATATACTAATAATGTTTTGAAAATTGGAAGGCACACAAAGAATGGGAGAGTATGGCCTGTTCACAAGAAAAATAATGGTCCTAGAGAGAAACTGCTCTTGATTATGGATATAACAGTCACAACCTTAAAATTGGCTATGTTAAATGCTATGTGTCAAATAAATAAAGGAAATAATGCTGAAGTAATTTAACAGCAACAAAATCACTGAATAAAATGTCACTGGGGGAATGCCACCACAGTACAGGGAAGAACCAGCAAACTCAAGTTACATCAATCACATCTATCCGAACAACTATGTAGCTCTGACTGTCCTGGAATTCACTTTATAGGCCAGGTTAGCCTGGAACCCACAGAGAACTTCCTGCCTCTGCCTCTTAGTTCTGGGATTAGAGACCTGCGCCATTATGTCCAGTCAGAAATTGACTGAATCAACTCAGGAGTCCCTCAATATCGCTTTTCAAAAGTTAAAAATTTGTACATCATGAATGCTATCAAGATATAAAAAACAAGATAATATTTACAGATTATATATAAGAATATAGTTGAATTTTGTTATTCAGACTCTTTTCTTCATAAACTCACCTCCTTAATTTTATTTGCTAGCCCACAAATCAATTTTCATGACATCTACTGGGACATTTGAGGACATGTGAAGAAGTGGGAAAATTTACAGTGACCCAAGACAGATAATACTAGATGACACAGAACAGGGCAAAATTTCCGTTCTTTTTCTCACAATGTAAAGTCAGTATCCTTGCAGAGGACATGGTGGCACATTTTGGCACTTTTGAATTAGTAATTTCACCGCTTAAAAATGACCCCTAGTATAAAGTTGAAGTGCTGCCTCATGTTTCTGAGAACAGCAAGGCTGTGATGTGCCTTAAGAGGACAAGTGAGTTAGTGAAGTTTGGCTCAGGCATGGTCTCTAGGGTGCCTGGACATGTGTGTTTCTGTTTCAAGTCCTCTTACTCAATACATACATGAGAGCCAAACCACAATTCTAATGATTTAACAATATATCCTAAATAAGGAGACTTGAAAACATAAATACACATAAAAAGACTGTATAACAACTGCCATTTTAATTATATATTTTAATTTATTTATTAGCTTGTATGTGCATGACAGGCTTGGGGGGGCATGCACACCATGTCAAACGTGAGGTTAAATTGAAATTTTGGGGCAATACATTTTTTTTCCCCTTTCCATGGGTTCTGGGCATTGAACTCAGGTCATCATGCCTGTGAAGAAAGTGCCTTTACCCACTAAGCCTTCTTGCCAGCCTTGTACCAACCATTTAACAAAATGGGACCAGTGACTCACAGAATCACCCTGATGTCATTAGGAAAAATGGTTCCTAAAAATGGTGTACACTAATTCATCACTGGAATAACCTTACAGAACACAGCTGAGGCATGTAAGTAAAGCTGCCTGTATGTGAATCACACATGTCTGTTCCACAGGACATACAGTTATATGTTCAGTGTGTCTCCCTCTTCCCTTTCTCCTCCTTCCCCCTCTACACAGCCTCACTCCACAGCCCAACCATGCCTCTACCTCCTCACTCCTCCCATATGACATTTAGCTTTAACTGTCAACTAGACACAACCTAGAAACACCTGGGAGAGGCTCAATGAGGACTCAATCTACATGTGGGTGGCCTGTGGAGAGCCTGTGAGAATTTTTTCTTAATTGGGTTAACTGATGTAGAAAGATGGAGCCCACTCTATGTAGCACTATTCCCTGGGCTTGAATCCTAGACCTTTTAAGAGTGGAGAAAGGGAGCTGAAACTTAGGGATGCACACATTTATTCTCTCTGGGCTGTGGGATGCAATAGGATTAGCTACCTTAAATTTGACTCCCCTGCAATGCTGGACTAGACCCTGGAATCACAAGCCAAATAAACTCTTCCCCTAAGTTGCTTTTATTGGGGTATTTATTACAATAACAGAAATGAAACTACGACATCCCGCTTCAGTCTCCCATGTGCTGAAGTTTCTGATATGTGAAAACAGGCTGAGCAAGCCATGGGAAGGAAACCAGTGAGCTCCACCCCTCCAGGGCCTCTGCATCAGCTCCTGTCCTCTTTGAGTTTCTGTCCTAACCTCCTTCAGTGATGAACTGCAATGTGGAAGCCTAAGTCGAATAAACCATTTCCTCCTCAGCTCGATGATATTTTGTTCCAGGAATAGAACCCCTGACTAGTACAATCCCCATCTAATCTTCCTTTTTTTTTTTTTTTTTTTTGCAGATTTTTTTATTTGAATTAGAAACAAGGTGGTTTTACATGACAATCCCAGGTCCCTTCTACCTCCCATCCTACCCTACCACCAACCCCAACTAAAACCCTACCTATCCTTTCTGCTCCCCTGGATGGTGAGCCCTTCCATAGGGTGTCATCAGAGTCTATCATATCCTTTAATCCCCATCTATTCTAAACTTAATTCTGCATAAATATGCTGTAGCATAAAATCAAATTAATATCCACCCTCCTACTACTCTCCTAAGCAACCCATCCCTCTATTTCTCATCCTGGTTAATGATCACCTACCAACAATTTCAATCCACTCTAACTGTTCCATTTCAGAAAGATGTACCATTAAACAAGGGAGAGGGGCTTGGAAAATTAGGATTCATTGGGCACTTTCTATGGGAGTTGGCTTGAGTACAATTTCCAAACCCTGAAAATTACCCCCACCCTACCCTTTCACTTAGGAATCCATATGAAATCGAATCTCCTGTTTCCAGATGAACACTCTGCTTTTTATCTTTGCAAATTCTCTTCTTTCTGCACAGAGGTTGTTTCCCTTGCTTTTTTGTTAACCTCTAGCTGATTCCCACTCATCCTTCCGATATTACCCTTCCAAAGCTACCCAAGTAACACACACGAGGCAGGCTTTGGCATCCTCCATACATGCAGGCATACGGGTGCACTGTGGCTGGCATGGGTCTGAGAGGAGTACACTGGTTTCTTTATATCTGCCTTCCGAATCTTTGCATTGTGAGTGCTCAATAAACAGCTGTTGAATGAAGCCCACAGAGCTCCCTCACAGGTTATTAAATATTTTAGGTCTAGCTACTACCATAGTGCTGAAATTTGAAAGAAGGGACAAAAGTCACAATTAAACTACACAGTGTGCTGATGGCCACTCTCATTTCACTGGTGTTCCACTCAGAACTATGCTGAAAATCTGGAAGCACTCACTTCAACTAAGACCTGATTAGGATTCTCTGTTTGTCCAGTGGGAAGAGCTCTCATTATGGTGGAATCAGGATTCCCGGCTGATTCTACACCTTGAGAACCATTCATGGACATCTCATCTGTTCCTTCATTAATATTTGAGCTGTGTTCATCTTGTTTACAGCTTGAAATTTTTTTAGTCTTCTTAGTAGTCTGCCCATCACGTCGGGCTTTTCTTTGTCGATACTCAACAAGCTATAGGGGGGAAAAAGAAAGCAACATTATCATCTAAGTTTTTTTTAGCATTATTAAAGCTCTGGGTCATTTTTATTGAACTCAAACTATCACTAAAAAGGAGTGACAAAACAAAGGACACTCATTCTGTCTTTAATAGAGAAATTACTATTGCACTGCACAGGGACTGGATGTTTCTGAATCAGGACTAAGAAATGAAAATGTCTGAAAGAAGACAATCAGCTCAGAGTCAGAAGTTGGAGAGTGCGGCAGGCACTCAAGAGTATTATCTGTGGCTTTCAAATGTCTCAAAGCATGACACACTCAAGAAAGTCTTGTGCATCATCCTTCAGGGGATTTCTGGGACTTTAACTTTTGACTTGCGCCAAAAGATTTAGCTCTAAGTGTGGTTTGTAGCCTTATCTATAAAGGAAATAATGGAAATAAACTAAATTGCAGAGACTGATGCTTTCTAGCCCTCAATCATTTGCACATCACCACCAGAATCCCATAGCCTAGTGCCACCTATTCATACAATTTACTCACCATCCACATCAGTGTACCTTTCTTATTTGTTTATAAAAGAGATGTTTAATCCTGGGCACCTCTTGCACTTGTAGTTTCTTTTTTAAAACGTAGCCAACAAGGACACAGCTATCACTAAAATGTTAAACACTGATGAAAGTCATAAGAGAAATGGATGAGTATTAAAACATTTAGGAATAAAAGAGCAGCAACACTTTAAGCTTCCATGGTAGAAAGAAAAATGTAAAAGGTAAAAGTCTTCTTTAATATTATGGGGCCAGGTCACATAAAATACCACCATCTAGACCGAATTATCATCCCATATATAACTCAATGATGGGTGAAATATAGTGAACCCTTATTAAAAATATTGATGAAAACCACTCATGACAATACTTATGACAGAGTAGTGGCTATAAAACAGTATCATAGTATAATTATTATGAAAAGAAAATCATCACACCTCTTCTTAATACAGACACAGCAGGCTTCACTCAGGCTTCAGCCATCAAGAATTATATCTAGCTTGGATTTTAGTAACACTATACTCACAGCATAATTAAATCTTGAAAAAAAGGTATAACAACTTTGGTGTGTTTCCCAACTTGAACTACAGTTTCCCCCTATATTTAATTTCTCTGAGTGTGTTTGTGAGTAGTGTGTGTGTGTGTGTGTGTGTGTGTGCAGGTGTGCTTGCCTGAGTGTGTGCATGGGAGGCCAGAGGTTGACTACAGGTACCATCCTGTATCACTCACCACTGAAGAAGTAACTCATAGTCTTGGCTAGGTAGGCTGGCCAGCAAGTTCCAGGCATCTTCCTATCTCCATCTATGTCTCCCTTTGATGAGATAACAGACTCACACAACCAGGCCTAGCTCCTTATATCGATGTTGGGGACCTGAACTTCGCTTGCACAAGCAAGCACTTAGCATACTGAGCCTGAATTTCCTTTTTTATAAAATTTAGTTTATCTGAAACAAATACCTACCACCACTTCTTAAATTTGAGTTCTTTAATCACACCAAAGAAAGCCAAAAGTAAGAACTAGGACCTTCAAAAAAAAACTATAACTATTAACTGCACTAATTACAAAGATAGTACCGGGTGTTGATGGCGCACACCTTTAATCCCAGCAGTGGGGAGGCAGAGGCAGGTGGATCTCTGTGAGTTCGAGACCAGCCTGGTCTACAAGAGCTAGTTCCAGGACAGCCTCCAAAAGCCACAGAGAAACCCTGTCTCAAAAAACAAAACAACAAAAAAAAAATTACAAAGGTAGTAAATTATTATATAATTTGACAACACAATAGCACTAATAATGTTATTACTATGAAAATAGGTGACAAACACTGTGAAGAAATATAGTATTTTTAAACTTTACCAATTATAGAAGAATATAAATAGTGCCGCCCTATTTTTTAAACACATTAATTCAGCAATCACATATAGCAGCTACTAGTGCCATACAATATAAAAATACACTACACCAGGGTTTCCCCAAGTCATTTAGCAACTCAGCAGTTATCTATATCTTGTCTGCTTGAAAACAGGTGCAGAGTCAGCTGCTTCTTTGTACAGTATTAAGCCCCTGCAATACACTTAAAGTGCTCTGTAGAAGATTCATTCTTAAAAATAAACTGACTGCATTGCTGTTAAAATACTAGCTGTAAATAGAACCACTTTTCTTCACCATATATGAAGAAAAGTTCCCTCATGGAGAATGCATTGCCAAAAAATATTAAGAATGGTATTCTTTTAAGCATACTTCAGAAGCTGTTTGCACTATCAATCTCTCATTAAAACTCATTACCCACAGAAAATTTGAGGATTAAGATTTTGCTACAAAAAAACTGGTTTAGTGCATACAAATCATCTATCTAGTGTTTATTCAGGTGTATAAGTGCATGGATAAAAGCAAAACGAAAACGCCAAATTATGGAGAGTTTGACTGAAATGCAGAGCAACAGTGTACACTACTCAATCCAATGGACAAGACATACATGGACAAACACAAGCACAATAATTGATTCCCCAACTGCATTTGGAATGGGTCAGTTCTAAAGACATAAAACTACAAACATTATTTTAATTGATTATATGAGGTCTTGGGGTGGGGGGCTAACTAAGCAGAAGGCTCCATGACAGCAAGGACTTTAGTTCAATTCTTTATACTCAACAACAACTAGAACAGTACTCAGTTTGTGGAATAAAAGAAGAAAACCATCACTTAGGGAAGACACCTCTAAGCAGTAACTTAAACATCTTGATAACATAAAGCATGCCTAACTCTACCAAGTCAAGTACCATGGCTTCAGAATTTGATTAAAAAAAAAAATTCCAGTTACTCATTAAATTAATGAAAAACATGAAATTACCCTTTTTACGTTTTTCTTAAAAAAATAAAAATTCCAGTTCTCAGAAAAATAATATATACAAAAGCAATCTGGGAAGAATTCTATTTAATTAAAAATGAAAGAAAAACAAAAACATATATATCCAGTTTCTTTTCATTGTTTACTTTTATTTTAAACCTGAAAATAGTAAATTAACAGATAAGTAAAAAGCTAGTCAGTTAAATAACCACCTGACACTGGAACCATACACTTTAACTCACTAAGAAAACATTTATTCTACAACAGGCTGGAAAGTCAGACACCAACCATCTGTGTTTGCCATTTAGAAGCCAATTATAAAAATGTTAACATATGTAGTCACAGAAATAGTTACAAGATTTACTGGAAAGATACTGTGTCCATATACATTTGTCTTTCAAAACTGGTTCAGATCCCAAGAAAATGTCTTACTATAACCAGAACAAGAATAAATGACTAAACAATCATGTTTTCCTAAACTCAAGAATTACGGTGTCATAAATGATCATTCCCAGAAAAAAAAAAAAAAAAAAAGTATTTTCAGAACATCCTATGAAACATGAAAAGATGCTAATTGCTATAATGTCATTTTAAGAAAGACTTTATGATCTGCTTAGGGCTTAGGTGTGTTGACTAAGGGTTAACAAAGCTCATGAATTAAAATATGAGTTCCTGACATGAGGACCTTTCAGTCTAAGCCGGACTATTATGTCATCAAATTGTGAAAATTAATCTAAGATAAAGGTTTGAACATGAGTTGGGTTGGCTATGGCGATGCACACCCTTGATCCCAGCACTCACAGCACTCATGAGGCAGAGGCAGGCGGATCTCTGTTCAACTTGAGACAAATTTGGTCTATCTAGTGAGTTCCAGGGCAGCCAGGGATTCATAGGGAGACCATGTGCGCTCGAGCGTGCATGCGTATTTGTGTGTGTGTGTGTGTGTGTGTGTGTGTGTGTGTGTGTGTGTGTGCGCGCGCGCGCGCGCACGCGTGCGCTCACACACACGGGTGCCTGCCTGCCTCAATGTATTACTACTCTGGTAGCAACATACCTCTCTGAAAATGGATGCCCTACTTGGAAAGAACTTTTTCAGGGGGCAGACATGACAAACACACATTCTTTTTAACAGTTCCCACTATTTTTACAAGCAACCTTGTTCAGTGGCTCCTCATTACCTGGGCTCTGTTCTCCTTGGAGTTTTCACGAACTACTCTAATAAACCCAGTTATATTCTGGGTTTTTTTAGCTGTCTAAAACAGCTAATTAGGAGAAAAGGAAAATGAAAGGGACAAGGTCAGATGACCACATCCAAAGCAATCATAACTGACAGCAAGCACAAAGACTAAGAAAGACAAAAGTGAAAAGGAGATCCACTGGGCCTGGTGGCACAGATCTATAGTCCCAGCACTGAGAAGGCATAGACCAGGAGGAGCAGGAGCTCAAGGCCAGCCTGGCTTACATGACACTTTGCCTATGAAAACAAAAAGTACATTCACAAATGGTCTAAGACTGCTAAAAAAGAAAGAAGGGGAGGTAGGAGTAATGGCTGGAAAAATGCTGTCTAATCAAAGTCTCCATGTTTGGAAAAGATGCATACTTCATCTTCAATTCCTTCGATGTACAGAAAGAGCTCAGTCCCTCAGGTTGCACAATGGTAAGCAAAGCTGGGCTTCTAAAGATGCTGATTCCCCTGTTCCTCTGCATACATAGAATACGACACAGATACATTCAAATCTAGACCTTACATAGTGGGCACTTATCAGAAAGTCAGCTAACCATACTCTAGAAATACAAAGTTAGCTACTGCACATACTCTGTAACAAACTAATCCTGAGCACCTACCACCATATCTCTGCAGTATCACCCTTCATTCATTACTGACCTGCTTTCCTCTGTTAATGTGAGAGAAGAAAATAGGAACATAGGTGTCTTAGGGTGACTATTGCTAGGATGAAACCCCCAGACCAAAGCAACTTGGAAAGGCTTTTTTGGGCTTCTATTCCCATACCACAGTTCTCATCAAAGGAAGTCCAGGAGGAACTCAAGCAGGGTGGGAACCTGAAGGGAGGAGCTGGTAAAGGGGCCTTGGTGCTGCTTATTGGTTTGCTCCACATGGCTTGCTCAA